GACTATTTCAGTGGAAAGTCATGTTTTTGGCCTACATTCGGCTCCGGCAACTTTCAAGCGGACGCTCGACCAGATAATTTTCCCAGATCTCCACCCCCTAGTATTCGTATATCTAGAAGTCATTATTGTACTCGGACGAAGCTTCCCCAAGCGTTTAAACATACTAGAGATCGTTTTTTCTAGATTACTGAAAGCCGGGATGCTAATTAACGTCCAATAGTGCGATTTTGTCCGAAAATCAATCAAATATTTAGGTCACATCGTAACGCCTGAAGGCCTTCGCACCGATCTAGATAAAGTTGAGGCGGTACAAAAACTACCACCTCCTACTAATCTGAAGGAGGCTTGGTGTTATAGACGATTTGTACCAAATTCCGCGAGGGTCACAAATCCACTCAATAAGCTCCAAAAGAAATCTGCCAAATAGGAATGGGGCCTAGCGCAAGCTGAGGCATTTGAGAACTTAAAGCGTATCCTGACCGAAGCACCAGTATAGGGGTGCTCCGATTTTACACATAATTTTTTTCCTGCAAGCAAACGCCAGCTTGGATGGATTGGAAGTTGTTCTTTTCAAACGCTAATCGGAATACAATTTCGTAATCGCGAAAGCTAGTCGCTGCCTCATCGATCTTGAAAAAAAAAAGAATACTGGACAATTTAGCATGAATGCCTAGCAATCCTCTCGGGCATTAGGAAGCTGAGACCGTATGTAGAGGGTTTAGATTTACCGTGATAATTCACCCCACCGGTCGTCTAGCACAATGGGCATTGGAACTCCAGCAGTACGACTTCGAAATCGAGTACAGGAAGGGGTTTAAACGTCGTAACCGATACACTGCCCGAGCTCCTCTACCGGCAACCGAAGAATGTTTCGCACTCTCCACCATGCCTATGGATACGCAAATGATGAAAAAGGTAACTCTAGAAGGGCATAAACATCCCGACTTCTCAGTGGTAGAAGGGCATTGTACAAATACATCCCACGCCAGAGTGCGTTTGATCCTCGTTCCGAATGGAAACGGTGCGTCCCAGCAACGATGAAAGAGAAGGTACTTCAGGACCATCACAACTCTTTACAAGCCGGCCACTTCGGGGTGTTAAAAACGTTGAAACGAATTCAAGAAAACTTTAACTGGCCTGGTATGTCTAGAGAAAAACGATACTACAGAGACTACGATGAGTGGAACTGGTTCCAACAAGGAGGGCTACAGCTCAGAACGTCGTCAAGGCGCTCAAGGAACGGGTTATCTGTCGGTTTGGATGCCCGGAAACGTTCTTAACAGACAATGGAGTACAGTTTTGCAGCCTCCTAGTACAAAAATTTCTCAAGGACCTCCACATTGAGTATTGGGACGACTGCCTATTACCCCCTCCACGAGAACTCCACCGAACAATCCAATCGGGTCGTGAAAACTATGATTGCACAGAATACTGGCAACGACCATTGCAATTGGGATCAACACTTACCAGAGATTGCTTTCGCGATCAATACAGACGTTAGCGAGTCAAATAAGTACTCGAGCGCCGAAATAATATTCGGACATAATCTGACTGCCGCGAACGCTTGTTTAAAATCGATAACACGAGAAGAAATGCCTCGTATAAAGAACTGTGGCGGGATGTTGAAGAGAGTGATAAGAAAGCCAGTCGAAAGCAACAACATTACTACAACCTTCGGCGTAGAAAGTGGTCCAGGCAATCGGTGATAAGGTTTGGGTAAAAGAAAGGCAATTATCATCAGCGGCAGAAAAATGTAATGCCAAATTAGCGCAAAAATTCGCGGGCCCAATACAAAAAATACGCGGGCCCAGCACAATACACCAAACTCAACACTTTTTAAAGCTCAGAGATAAATCTACCACCACATTCTCTCAATACCACATTCCAAACAATAGAGAAATATAGGCAGATTAACAGCCTCGCCATTTTCAAGAAGAGGAGAAAACAATGACACAAAAACACACCACACTAATACCGCACCAACAATCAATATCAGTCACGAAAAAAACTCAACGATAGCATAGGGAGCAGAGAATGAAAGCAATGAACATAGTCGCGAATAACCTACACCACCAAACATCTGTGTGGGAGAGCAGATAGAAAAGAGAGCAGGTAAAAAAGGAGAGAGCGATAAAAAGAGAGCAAGTAAAAATGCAATTACACCAGGCACGATTAGGTGAAGATTGTTTACAAGTACAAGACTCGATTATGTAGGACTTGCGTGACAAAGATAGAAAATATGAGCCACTATTCTCTCAGTGAGAAAAAGGGCACGTGGTTTTGTCACCATTGTCATTCCCTCGACCCCTACACCTTACACCCTCGAACTCATATTCTGCCCCCGAACCTCTCTCCACGGTTATTCATGATCATGAGGAGTACTTACTCAACATGTTAAGACCATAAACTACCTTTTAAATCGTATGAAGTGTACAGGAGTTAGATTTAGTTCTTTATCGCCATCATTAGCGACAAAATGGAAAGGAAAGCCACAAGACCTCGTCGCGTGATCACTCCATCTCAAGTACCTAGGCCCTTTGTTTCACCGCTGGAAGCAAGGCCAAGGATCGTCTCCAATGAATTGTTGGCTCCGAGACTGGTGCGATTCCAGCCTTCACCACTGGCCCTGTACGTCGTGTGCAGTTTTTGGACAAAACTCCGCCCTCTACACCAACCTGCCTGTCCAAGACGAACCCCACCGGGTTTCGGCCTTCCAATGCTTCCAACTGCTCAATTACTTTGCGGTGAACCACAAGCACCCTTCCCAGCCAACATCCCGCTTCAACGGCAGTAACAACCACCCCACAGATCGGTCGGCAAGAGATTTTAAACCACGGAGAGAGCAACTCACCGATAGTACTCGGCCAAGTAGTCCTGGATGGTGCGGATTGTCAAGCCTAGGGGCATTGTCGTCAGTCGATTTTTCATTATCCCTACCGGCCGACAGTAAAAGTGACCTTTCTAATATCGGGGCGGGCCCGATTGCTCAACTGACGACTCAACACGACAAACCACCGGCCCAGCAACATAACTCATCGTGAGATACTTCCTTTTTTTTATTTCAGGCTGTAGGACAGCCTTAATATGCGACAAATTTCTAAACTATAGAACAGCATAAATAAAAAACTATAGTTTTAGAATATGTAACTAACCTGTAGAACATCAATTAATTAGGTTTATTTCCAAAAAATAAATATGAAAGATTTAAATTATTTCCAAAAAATAAATATGGAAAAAAGGTATGAATTATAGAAAAAAGGAAAATATACAAGTAATAAATATAAAAAAGTAATAATAAGGATGTAAAAAAACTGCAGTTATTTGCACGAGCTTTCCATTTGGTAAGTTAAATGCACCTGTGATAGGTGGTGCGGGTGTGGGAATCCTTCTTGTGTCCAAAGCGAGGAGGGAGGTGTAACGTGACCGTTTCATACAACCCTTATATTACTTTTAGGTCACATTTTGAATATACCCCATACATAATATGTTCCACTTGTCATGTTTAATGTTAGCTTCATTGCATTTAATGACTATCCTGATAATAATGATAATAATTCTCATTTACTTCGTGTGACTACAAAAATATATATTTTCCTATATCAACCGACAGTGGTCGATCAATAGCCGACAGAGAACGAACAGACGTGTGGCTCGTCCGCAGTCTCGTTACTAGTTAGCCACGATTCGATCCAGCTCTTAGTGAGCTCTCAGCGTTTAGCACGCTCCCAGCTTCTTAACAAGTTCCCAGCTTCTAACAAGTATCAATCTCTTAGCGAGCTCCCAGCGCTTAGTACGCTTCCAGATCTTAGCCAGCTCCCACTAACCGATCACTTTCCTCACTGCAAAGTGGAATTATGCAGAGCACAGTAAACAACCCGACGTCTGTCGAACCAACAGCTACCCGATTACCCCGATTCGACAGTCGCCCGATTACACCGAGTCGACCATAATCCGATCAGCGCAAGGCAAGCCACATACACGAAAACTTCCGAACGGATAACTACTCGATTTCCTCGGCCCGACGGCTACCCGATTACCAGATCGGACCGTAATTCGAGTAGTAAAGAGACGATTGCAACAGGGCCAAGTCACGGTTATCATCAAAACATCTACAAGAGCACCATACCCAATCCTGATTCCTCACATATTATTCGTACTGTAGACACCAGAGAATTATAAATATTGAGATTATAAGCACTCGTGTTTCACTTAAGGTTGGTGGCTCCTTAGGCCGACCCTGGCAGCGACTGAGCTTATCTCAGCCTTAGTTAAAACCACTCGTTATAACCTTGGCCTCCGTAAGCTCATCCCAGGAACTGGAGGGAACTTGTGTCGTTACAATTTGTTCAATATGGTACAACTTCAACAGATTACATATGATACAACATCTTTATAAACTACTTTATTTGCTGAAGTGACCATAATATAATTTAAAATTAAAAAGAAACAAGGCAAATTGCTGAATCGTATAACAGGCAATAAAAAACCCAACATGTATATTTAAAGAACATATAAGTAACCCAGGCATTGTTCCGTAATTACGAGGTAGGGCAGATTGAATAAATTTAAAAATCAAAACCCTGAAACTACAGTTTTTTTAATTTCAAATTCACTACAGGTTTAACTTTAAGCGAAAAATTAATAGAACACCCGAATTCTTCAATATACTATTTACATTGAGACATTGAATTTAAATTTGTCAAAATGAATTTGAAAATTGTCAATTTTATCTTGTTTCTTTTTCACAACAGTACACACAGAGATAAAAACTGAATACATGTTTCAGATTACAATACAAATTTTTTTTTTTTAAGTTTTATAAAAGGAAAAAATTGTGAAAAAAGTGTTGTATGTTATGCCCCACCTTATAAATTAATGTGATGATGCTAATTATTGGCAGGTGCTTGTCATAGGGTAGAAGACTTGCATGGCTATATTTTAAAACAATTTTATTTTATATTTTAAAATTAAAAATATTAAAAAAACAAAACTTAACTTACCTGCATAACATAATTTGGATCTTCCCACATAATTTGCAAGTGACAATACGCCAAAAGTTTTCTGTATATAAAACGGAAAGTATAAAAGGCGAAATAAAGTGTTAGATCTTGTAGATAAAATTTTTTATTTATACTTAGCCTACATTACCAATACTTTTTACACAACTTCAACTTAAATCGTTGCAACTCATAGTTGATTTACTATTTGCCAATATTTTCCAAAATTTGTTGCAATTTAATTAATTACTATATGCTTTCGCGCTGCTGTTTATTCCCATGCACTCTTTTCATTGATTTCTGATGTGCTCAATTTGCACTCTTCAAATATCAACTGCCGCTGCATTAAAGCATGCAGTGAAATCACTACCCCAGATCGCATGACTTGCAATTTTTTGCCGGCGTATATAAATAAAATAATTTTGTTGCAAAATGTTCAGTTTTTCTTTGGTTCCTCTTCTATTGACCGTACGATCTTGTCACTTTTTTTTTTGTCATAGGATTCTTTTAAATAACTCCTGGGGAGAATATACCATATAAAAACCAAGGGAACTGATGAGGATTGGTGGCTCTCTCCGAAACCTTGGAATTCTCTGCCTTACCCTCTGGCAAACATTAAAATCATTCTCCACTAATAAACAAATGTTATTTTTAAAAAACAACAATAATGGCATTAAGCCTGCAAAAGGCGAAATAAATAATAAATACTGTGGTACCCCAACAAACAAGCCAACACTAATCTAAAATTATTTTAGTAACACTATAACACCCCAACGATAGACAGATTAGTGTGATATATATTATTAGTGTGATATATATATCATATCATTACAATTGATATTCCGTCCGGCCCAATACATTGGATGACTTAGTTTTTCGGATGATATTCCCAACATCGACCATAGTAAACTATGGTGGTTCCTCATCGGCTGTAGAGGTGGTCAGTGCACTTCTTCGGATGAGTTACAGTTACATCGTTAAAATTTACTGAATTCCTATTATTCTTTTCTCCACGCTTCGATAGTGACTTAATCGTAACCCACAGTTTTCTTATAACGGTTTCAATGTTGCATTACTTCAGATTGTCCCAGTAGCAAATGTAGGCGTGGAACACGCGGAACGTGCCCTTAATTTTTACTTTCGACTCAAATCTTGAGAACAAGGTTAACTGACAAACTGTCTCGCCTTTAAGCGTCAACGTGCCAACAGGCACCGAACTACACATTTTGCATCAACCCGAACCATAACCGTGGGCAGCAGGATTATTTTCCTTTGCCGAATTAGGGATGTGTGCGATCGCTTCAAGTTATGTGCAGTAGAAGGCGTAGAACTGGATGTATGGGTTCGGGCTGCTTTTGACGTTGATGGTTGTGGTGAAATGGAGCGAGATTGAGAACTTGACTTAGCCTCGGACACGCGCCTAGGTAGGAATTGGTCTCGCGGTGGATCTTTTGGCAGTGATGACATCCGACAAGCTTAGTAATAGGACGAGTAATGACACCTATCTGAGTTACAATATCTGCGACCCGGACTCTACCGAGGCGCCAGGAATTTTGCGTAAGATTGTCATCATAAAGTGCGACCAGTATGTTTTCTTAAATGTTTGTCATTTATAACGCGCAGCTCTCGGAGACATTCAGGAGTTAAGGCGGCAAAGTCTGTTGGCTCAGAGGAAAAAGGAGATAGCGGACGAAAATTTAAATAGGCTTCAATTCCGGACAAAAGCGTTAAAAATTCTTCGAACGTAAACTTGAATAAGCCTGTAAACTTTTTGAGACTCTTAACCCCGACTTTCCGGAGCTCTTCCGTATGAGGAGCCCCAGGCAAAATAAAGTGGCAACTAAGGTTTTGCGCGGAATAATTGGAAGTGACAGCGCAACAAGAAGCTTGAATAAACTCTTTTGACAGGGCTTTGGACGCTCCCACAAACATTGAGCCATAATCGGAATGAAGATGAGCAAGGCATCATCGTCTAGTGACGAATCTATGAAATGTTGTTAGATGAAATAGATGAAATATCTTAGTGTACACATGTAGGTATCCCTTCGTTATACGGCATATATGTCCACAATATGTTTTAATGTCGAAGGGAGTAGAAAAATCTAGCCAGTGCGATAAAAAGCGCAAGAAATCTTTTCAGGAGGAAGAGCCGTCATTATCTGTTTCTGACAGTGATTTTTATAAAGGATACAAAGCTTGTTTTTATGAATAGAGGCTTTAATGAGGTCCTTGATTTTAGGAATCCCATTCTGGGATCTTATTACTCGAAGAACGAACTACGAAGGAGTAGCAAAAACTAGCACAGTGCAATAAAAAGCGCGAGAAATATTTGTACGTACAGGAGGAAGAGCAGTCATTATCTGTTTCTGACAGTGCTTTTATAAAGGATACAAAGCGTGCATTAATTAATAGAGGCTTTAATGGGGTTCTTGATTTTAGGAATCCCATTCTGGGATCTTATTACTCGAAGAACTAATTGATCATCACTGTATAAGTTCGATACGTTCCACCACAACTTTCCAATGCTCGATCAATCACGGATGCTGATTGGCGCACAGGCATCTCCTCTACAACTCCCCTGGCGGAGACCGTAGTGAGCGGATCGTCGCTGGGCATTGGTTGTTGTCGGTAGGCTCACCTTGCTCTCATTGGAAGTAGTTGTAGTTGTAATTGTAGACAGACATGGGACCCTCAGCGGTCACTCAGAACCATTGCGTTCACTTGTCTTTTGTCTTTGAAACAAAACCCAACACGGCCACTGTCGCCAACACCATATTGAAAAGAGGTAAGTTTGTTGTTCGAAAAGAAAGAAACACTAATAAAGCATGGAATCATATTTAGAATTTTACTAATTATTCTTGTGTTTTATTTCTTGTATATTTTGTTTCTTTTACACACTACACGCGCGAATCACCCGCACCTCGCCAAACCTCTCACCTACACACATCGCATACCCCATCTCACACCATAATAACTCTGGGGAGTTATCGTTGTTGTTACTGCCGCTGTCGAAGCCATTCTCCCCACTCCCCTGAGTTGAACATTGGTCGCATCGAGCCGGATTGAAGCCATCACTTTGTCGCTGCTCCCTCCTTTGCATGAAGAAATCATCGGATTCTCTATCATCAACATACAAAAGACTAAAAACCAGGTACGTAAATTCAGATCTCTGTTTGAAGTGAGCTACCCGCGTTTGTTAGTGCGTATATTAATTGGTTTTAATCGAAAAAACATAAAATTGGTCGAGCTTCAATCACCCTACGCGTGTGTCATTGTTATTCGAATACAGTCCACTCTCGTCGCATTAAATTGCATTTGTGGTACTGATCAACCTACGTTGCGTTGATCATACATTTGCCTTTCGCTTAAAAACAAGTCAGTTGGTCGACTTATAATAACACTTCTTTTGTTAATAAAGAGCATTCCCCTACAACAAGTAGTCTGTTGTTATGAAAATAGTTAGCTTTCGTTGTACTGATCATCCGTCGTCGCGTTGATCATACAAAAATATTTGGTGCTCTTGTCATTACCGATCTGTTCGTTTGTTTCCATTTCTAACTCTCATTTCAAATGTTGAACCCTTTGTGAGAATAGAAAGTGCCCCCTCGTTGTTGCTCTACTCCCTCGCCTTAGTTGAAGAAAAATTTGCATCACCACAGCATACATGCACATTCTTTTATATTTGGTCGTTTGGTTTATTTGTTGTTCAATTTCTCACCAACCAAACGTTCGCTGTTGTTATCCCCCTTCACGTTTCCAAGGTGAATTGTTTGTTTCTAATTAGCAATAACAAAACACTTGGAAAAAACAGTGCATCCATCTGTCGCTTGGTTACTTTGTCGTCGTCACTAACGCGCATTTATTGTTGTTGCAATTATTCTTCGTTTGTTTCTCTCAATTCTCACTTGAGAATTTGCATTGCCAAAAATTGCAACAAAAATACTTCATCATTCCACGCGCCCTTTTTAGCGTCGGTTTGATATACTGTAAAAGTGACAACAAATTGTTTTGATCTCCAACTCTCACTGTTGGATCGTTTGTGGCGTCGCTCGTTGTGTGGGTGCGTAGCTGCTTACGCATAGTCATTTCTCTGCCGACGTCGCTTGGGTTTTATTCCTCTTTGTGCGATATCCGTTGTTGGTTCGGCACAGTGGGATAAAACAGCACAAATTGTGAATTTTTGTAATTTACTTTAGAAATTATTTTTCTATAATTTTCTGAAGTATTTTTGAGTAGTAGTAGGGTTTTTGGAATTTTTGGACAAATTCACCCTACCTTCGGCATTCTTTGCAGAAACATTTAGCAACAAATATTAGTGAAAATTTATCGTTTTTTGGCTAGTTTTGCAAAATTTGTAAATATTATTTAACGTTTGCAACTCTACGTAGGGTTTTTGGAATTTTTGGACAAATTCACCCTACATTCGGAATTCATTGCACATATTCCAGCAAAATATATTCGTTGAAACTTTTAGTTTGTGGCTATTTTCTTCAATTGTTTAGGCAATTTATTAATAGTTGCTGATACTGATTGTGATTCTCCGTAGTTTTGTATTTTTTTGGAAGAATATACCTTACTTTCGGCATAAACTTTAAAAGTTTATCAACATCAGCTTCAAATATTTTGTAAAAATACTCAATTTTGCAAGACTTTTGGTAAATAATTGTACAAAGATAGTACTGAAAACTGTAAATACATTTTGCAAAATACCAGTTGGCATTACCAAATCATTTATTTTCTTAATTTGTTCATATTGGAGCAATTTTAGTAATATTTGTCACATGGGAGAAGATTTTCTTAATTTCTCTCCTATTGAACCCTGCTATATCCTCAATATTTATAGCTTTCTTGAAGTATTTGGAGGTTTTTAGTTTTGCAAAATTTCTCTTTTCCTTTCAACAATAGCAACCCTTCGAATTTTCTTTGTTTTGCATACCGTTTGTATTGTTTTTGTTATAAATTTAGCAACACAATGTCGATCACTCCGCTCACACGTTTTACTAGAGCCGCTGACATTGTTCTGAGGAGTGTTGAATATTTCGAACAAATTGATGCCACACAGTT